CTACCTAATGGATTCAATCACTTCATAATAGCTTAGAAAATGGAAACAAGCTAAAAATCATAAATAAATATGGAAACATTATATGTTTTACTGTTTTTAATAGATATACTCTGTGATTTTAAAATTTAATTYGTAGTTTAATATTTTAGCATTTAACATTTTTAATATTCTAGAGTAATGAATAAATTTTGGTATTGATTTGTGTCATTTATAAAGTGACTGAGTTTTAACAAAGAAGCAAAAATAGCCTTTCCTGTAGAATGTTTTTAAGCTTTACTCCCTTGTTTAATTCAGTGAGGACTTACATTTCAAAAGCAACAATAAATACAGCCCCTTAGTGCTTTTTTATCTGTAAGTACTACTGAAAGGGATCTTAACTGCATTTGTGAAATATGGAGTCAATGTTCACTTGTCCAGTACAGGTATCTATTACAAAATATTTACCACTTGTTACTTTCAGTCTTTCTTGTCTCACCCTTGGAAGTGCTTGTTTCTATGACTAGTTTGCACTCTTTCAATTCTATTAAATTCCGCGTGTTTCAGATGTGAGTAAAGGCTACTCATTTGAGTAGGACTTGCTGGATTGAGACCACATGCTGTCATTCTGTGAAGCATCTTAGTAGCCTTAGCGTACTGCGCAGGAAAATCCCATCACCTGTGGCAAAGCAGCCTTTACTTTCATGCCATTTGTGYCACCCACTTGCCTACCTGTCCAGTGAATTGAAGCTTTGAGAGAAATTTGTTTGACTTTTTTCAAAAAGTCAGAACAATTTATCCTAAATGGAAAGTACTGTGGTGAGATTCATTGTATGCCTAGTTTGAGGTTGACCTAGGGGGGTGAAAATGTCCTAGAAATTCTCTGGTATTATTCTCTAAAATATTTTTCAAAAGGAGTTATTGGCTATTTCAAGGCAGACAGATGATGAGGTGAATTAACTTGGATCGGTCATTTGAAAAGTATTCTCACTATTTTTAAGGTATGGGAGTTGAGGGAAGGAGAAATGCCAAACAGAGCTGTAGGTCCCCACTTAGTATAGGCAGGAGCCAGGTCCCCCTGAGACAGCACAGATCTAGCCATTTATTTCATTAAGAGCAGAGCTGAGCACTGATTATCCAAGAAATACCTATACTGCTGTATTCCTCATGTACTTTTTCACAAATTATATTTCAAATGCAAACTGCCGTTTCTTTATGTTTGAGAAAAATAAGCCTGTTTATGATTTTGAAACACTTAACAGGTCCATGTCGATATCTCCTGGCAGTGAGCACCAGTGGTTAAGGTTACTTTGGAAAGCTTTTGCATTATACATACTAGCTTTGATATATGGAGATCATGAGACTGTCTTCCAGTGCATAAAATAATACCTGTTTTGGTTGTAAATGTTCACATTTGGGCTTAGTGATTACTGTACAGTGTCTGAAATAATTAGCTTGCTGGTGTTTGATCAGCTCATTCTAGATCAGAGGACAGCCATATTTGAATGGCTATATTGCCTGAATCCATCACTAATTACTGAAACCTTTTGTGGGAGGTTTGTTTAGAGAAAGCTCTCCTTAAACAAAAGAAGAGAAATATATAGATAAAAACCTGGAAGGGGAGTTGCACAGTTTGCAGCTTCTTTTAGAATCAATCCTCCTTTACAATCACTTAGTAGCAGTATTAGAAGTAGTAGTTGTAATAATATAATAGTAATAATAATAATAGCAATAATAATAATAGCAACAACAGGCAACTATTACCCAGCCTGACAATGTTTSGAAATAAGCACTGGAAAATGTTCAAAGGTGAAAGCCTTTGGAGAGACATGGTTTCTGTATGCGTGGTCGGTATTACCAACCAGGGGACTCTGTAGATTCTGAGCAAGGACCAGCGAATCTGTCTCCCCGACTTTTAAATGTAAATCTGTAATGTAAATAAGGATTTGTTTGAGTTGTCTTAGTTCAGAAAGACTCTGGAGAAAGGCAAGCATGTTGGGTGTTTGATTCTTTGCTGGTCTGTACTGTGCATGCTTTCACTTTGTGAGAGCTGAAGTGCGCACCGAAAACACAGTTTGGAAGCTTGCTTTTTCACTTAATGTATTTTTGGCGGCTTTGGGGTTTTCAGCATATCCTTTAGGATACCCGCTGCCAGTATGCTCTTTTTCTGTGGTAAATCATGTTATCTTATGTGATATTTTTGTAACACAAAGTGATAGTTTTTACAGAAGCATTTACCGTAAGGATTAGTCTAGTATTGTCTAGCAACAGCTATATATTATCGATCTTAACCCAAACAGTGTAACAGCTTCAGCACTTGGTGCAGAAGTCTTAAAAAATTCTTGACCATTTTKAATTGCATTTTATTTCCYCCCTTCCAAAAACAAAAAGAAAAAGAAGGGGGAAAATTTAGTAGTATTCAACGAAGAATTTATTTTAGCTAGTAAATAGAGTAGAATTTTGAAATTAGAAAATTTTGCATTCAGCTACCATTTCTTGGTAGAAATAAAAAATCCRTATCTAT